CTGGTTTGATTCCTTTCTTGATACAGGGCGGAAATAAGGACTGCAAATTTTTTTCCCCTTGGTAAGGCAAAAGCGGAGGTTGCAAACGGGAAGAGGGCTCCAGCATGAACAACGAGAAAGTGAAGAAAACACTCTTAGCAGTTGGGACACAATTAAAACTCTTCCGGAATGCGACAGTAGTTAGAAAGGGAATCAAATTCACGCAAGACCTGTGTGATGGAGTTGATGGGCTAACAAGACAGAAGAAAAACTGGACTGAGTATCTGATTACTTTAATCAAGCTTAATGTGGATAGGTAAAAATTGCTGCCAGACGGGTAGAAAGATTATTTAAATCCATAAGTATCTGCAGATCAATAAGGCAAGAAAAATACAGAGCATAAATGAGATTCAATGTGGAAATTAAACCAGTAAAGACTTAAATTCAACCAAAAGTATGACAATAGGATTTATACAAGAGTGATAGCCCTTTTTTTTTTTTTTTTGTAGACAGAGTTCACTCTGGTTGCCAGGCTAGAGTGAGTGCCGTGGTGTCAGCCACGCTCACAGCAACCTCAAACTCCTGGGTCAGGCGATCTCCTGCTCAAGCTCCCGAGTAGCTGGGAGCTACGGCATGCGCCACCATGCCCCCGGGCTAATTTTCCTTGTATATTATTAGTTGGCAATTAATTTTTTCTATTTATAGTAGGATCGGGTCTCGCTCTTGCTCAGGCTGGTTTGAACTCCTGACATGACGTCTCCCCCTCGCCTCCCAGAGTGCTGGATTACAGCGTGAGCCACCGCGCCCGGCGCTACAATCTATGTTTAAATGAGTCTGGGGTCTGTTACAGTGAATTAGCAGTTATGATTAAAAATGCACTCAGATGGACCCCTGGGGGTGGCGTCAGCCTCGCTCACAGCAACCTCCAACTCCTGGGCTCCAGCGATCCTCCTGCCTCAGCCTCCTCCCGAGTAGCTGGGACTACAGGCATGTGTCACCATGCCTGGCTAATTTTTTTTTTCTATATATATTTAGTTCGCCAATTAATTTCTTTCTGTTTTTAGTAGAGACAGGGTCTTGCTCACGCTGGTTTCGAACTCCTGACCTTGAGCGATCCTCCCGCCTCGGCCTCCCAGAGTGCCAGGATGACAGGCGTGAGCCACTGCGCCCGGCCCCAAATTGATTTTAAGTTTGTGGGATTGTGTCTGCCTATCCATTCTCACATGCTTGTTGGTCATTCCCAAAAGCTGTTACTTTTCTTTCCATGGTAAGCACACCCAATGCCGTGGTTATGACTTATTATTCATAATTAGTTCCTGTGAGCTTGCCTCAATGTGCTCGTCCTCAAATAAAACAATCCTAAGAAATATTAAGCCAAGAAATAAGGTTATTTGAGTACTTTGTGGGTTCTGAATTGAGATGTTGCAGAATGTTGGCAGTGAAATCTTGGGGCAAGCCCCACCCTAAGAAATGGAAACGAAACAAAGGCTTGTCTGTGTGTCTCCCACACGACAGTGGGCCTGACTCGCTGAGGCCTGCCTGCCGCAGCCTGCCCGCGCCCTGCGCTGGGCGGGACAGCCGCCTGGGACATGCACTTGTGCGACAGGTCTTGAGAATCGTTCCGCAGCCTTCGAGTAAGACGTTTACCTAACCGAGAACCTAAAAGGCGGTTAAACCCACGTGGTAGTTCAAAGAGTTGCTTTGCCCCAGCAGCTTGGCTTCTTTTGAACAGTGTCAAAGAAATAGGCCGTACGTTTTGGAATAACCGCCTTGCCCTGGAGTTTGGAAATGAAATGAGTTATTTCACCAGTTAAAGTATGTGACATTTTTCTTTTTTTTTTTTTGAAGACGAGTTCTCACTTGGTCGCCCAGGGCTAGAGTATGGTGCCAGTGGCGTCAGCCTCGCTCACAGCAACCCAACTCCTGGGCTCAAAGCAGATCCTCCTGCCTCAGCCTCGCCGAGTAGCGGGACTACGGCATGCCCCACCACTGCCCGCTAATTTTTTTTGTAAATATACATATATTACTATATATTTATGTTGCCCAATTAATTTCTTTACTATTTATAATGGAGATGGGGTCTCGCTCTTGCTCAGGCGGTTTCGAACTCCTGAAGTCGCCAATCCCTGCCTGTCGTCAGCCTCCCAGATGCTAGGATTACAGGCGTGAGCCACTGAGCCCGGCTATATAGATGCTTAAAAAAAACAAAAAAAAACCCACAATGGCATTCATGATTAATTTTCTGTCTTAGCAGAACTTAGTGTTTTTTTGATTTTTTACAAAAAGTAAGCCTTTCTTTGTTTTTTTTTTTTTTTTTTTTTTTTTCAGACTGTAGGGGTAACACATGTTTATCAAAAACTTCAGAAGATATGTTTTTCCTCTCTGCCTCTCCCTCCTCCACTCACGTCCTGCTGGTTTATGTTGAGCCACCCACTTCTGGAAGCCACGGTTTCTAGAAGATTCTGTGGTCACCGTTGGCTAGGTCAGCAGACACTGACAGTACACCCCTATGTCTGCTGATTGTCATGTGAGATGCACTCGTACATTCTGATTAACTGAAATAGTATGTACGTCCCAAGCACATCCTGAATGAGGGATAGGTTTGGTTTGATCGTGCTGGTTTGTCCTTTCTGGGCGTTTCTTTGGAGATAACTTTCACAGTCTTCCTTCAGAGATCACTTTCTTTACTCTTTACATCTCAAATAGGTTTTGTGCCTGCAGGTTTATTTTGTTCCTGTGCACATAATCTCTCTCTTGAAGGGGGACATTTTCAGAAGCTGGGGTGGCATATTTTCATGGCACCTGTTATTCCCAAAGAGCAAGTGGAGCTAAAAAGTCAGAACTTTCTCTCGAACTTTCTCACTTTAGGAGAGAGTGTATATTCACCGAAGTTAGATGTTCAGCAGCAAGGAGAAAAAGTTGTGGGATTTTTTTTAATCGTACGCTTGCAACAGGAAGCATGGTAGGATTACGTGATCGTTGATGTACAGGAAATTAAGGCAAACCAATTTTATTCAAAACAAACCCAGTAACTAAGAGACAAAGACGTCCATTTACTCTATAGTTCTGTCGTTGTTGGTTAATAGTGATCACACTTTGCCAGGTCTTTTTTTCCTGGTTGTATTATACCTAACATTTATTGCAAAGGTATATCTTTTTATCTTTTGCTTGTGTGTGTCCTAGCCAAGCCACCGTTTCCCAGCAGACCTATTGAGTGACTTTCCCTTCTCTGCCATTATATGATCACTAACCGCCAGCTCCTTTTACTGAAAGCTGTATCTTCTAGCCTTGCTAAAATGCGAATTTAAACCCTGTCAGATAAATATTGAGCAAGCTCTACATTTGCAAGTGGCTAACAGTTTTTATTTTATTTAGAAACTTATCACAGGGTGTTTTTAGCACATTTTGTTGGTGAAAGTAGTTCCTTGGCAGAATCTCCATATTGTGTGTAGGCAGTCATTTACAAAGAGCCAAGTTCTGTCATTTATTTTTATTAGAAAATATAGTGATATATATATATATATATTTTTTTTTACCAAGGTTTCCCAAAATAACCATGCCTCAGTACTTCGATCGTAGGTAGTGGTTTTGCAGTAAAAAAGTAATTGGTCAGATTATTATAGGGGTATATTCAGAAATACTAAAGTATTTTATCCTCTAATAATTTGCTTTTTGGGGCCTCATGAATACTCCAGATTTTCTTTTCTTCTCAGTTTTACATGTAGCATTTCCTCAAATAGTCATGCTCATAAAATGTGGGAGGCGGCAGTTGATTCATTCCTTTGATATTTTGGGTATCTCCTTGGAATAAGGTTAAGGGTGAAGGGTTTTAAAATTTGACAATATATGTGCAGATCGGAAAATGTCTGCTTTTAATATTCAGGTTGATCATAGGCCCAAATGCCTGGAAACAAGTATCAGTGTAACTTTGGGGAAGTGTAACGTGTTTCTTCCCCCAACAAAATGATAGCAGTAGGGTTGAACATACTCTCTAGATACCGGTGCCATCCGTAGCACTGTTCTTCCCACCGATGAGTGTTTATGCAGACAAAAGAGGGTAATTTATTACATGTGAAAAAATAGAGCTTCATGCTGATGTTCCTTGGAGAAAAATGTAAGATAACTGAATTTGGATTCGGTCGAAAGGCCACACTTTAAGGACCTAGATAGCCACGGCTTCCACACCCCTGAGTTGGGGACAATGGAAAAAAAAAATTTTGAGTATGTTGTGTGTATTCCCACCCCTATTTGCTTGCTCGCTTACATGGACCCTATTTTCAGTGACTAAGGGTTGGGGACTTTAGTCTCAGGGCTGGCAGCAAATCGACTGAGTTTTTGCGACGGTAAGTGGCTTGCACCAGACTGGCTCCTGTTATACCATCGCACCGTTATCACCGCAGATTGTAACTGTGCAGTTATAAAACTTACATTTCCAGGAGAATAAAGCATTTATTTGATAGATAAAGAAAACTCATACCTCTCCTGTCCCTGTTTTTTTTGTATCTCAGGCATATTTTCTTTTTCTTTTTTAGAAAAACATTTTTTCTTTTCCTTTCTTTCTTTTTTTTTTAAATTTCTGTTCCTGTGTCATATATTTTCTATTTATATGCAAAAAAAAAGTTATTAGAAATGATTTCACACGGTGCGCTGTCTGTCCTTGTCCTTTCTAGCGTGCTTGAACATGACCTGCAGCTTAGTGACAGTGAAGACAGTGACAGCGAACAGGTAAGTTCCGTACACCTCTTAACACCAGCAATCCTTTTATTAATATATCCACGTCACATACCCGAGCTGCTGATACTAACCTATTTTTTTGTTCTTTTCCTCATCTTTTCCCCCTTTTACTGTGGGATGCCCAGACCCCAGAGAAGCCGCCTCCCTCATCTGCACCTCCAAGGTACCGTGCGGGTTTGCCCCCATCCGCGCAGAATGCATGTTTTTTGTTTTGTTTTGTTTTTTGTTTCTTTTTTACCAAACAGGAAAAATAAAACCTCCTTTGAGGACTTTCCTAGTTTCTTCATGGGGAAGGAGATAGAGCAACACAGTAAAAGAAAATACTAAATATGAAATGCAAATACAAATAAATAAATGTATTAAAAAAATACAAATAAATACCAAACAGTCTTTTGGAAGCTTAAATCAGAGACAAGGGGAGGCTGTCAATCCTATACAAGCAAGAGTGCCCATACCCACCTGCATTGCCGATGTAGATGTTAAAGATTTTTGAGAATTTGAAAATAAGCTAAGCCGGGCGCAGTGGCTCACGCCTGTCATCCTAGCACTCTGGGAGGCCGAGGCGGGAGGATCGCTCGAGGTCAGGAGTTCGAACCAGCCTGAGCAAGAGCGAGACCCATCTCTACTATAAATAGAAAGAAATTAATTGGCCAACTAATATATATATAGAAAAAATTAGCCGGGCATGGTGGCGCATGCCTGTAATCCCAGCTACTTGGGAGGCTGAGGCAGAAGGATCGCTTGAGCCCAGGAGTTTGAGGTTGCTGTGAGCGAGGCTGACCCCACGGCACTCACTCTAGGCCTGGGCAACAAAGCGAGAATCTGTCAAAAAAATAAAATAAATAAAATAAAATAAAAATAAGCTTAAAATAGAGTTTATCGTCAGCACTGCATAACCAATGCTTGAAAAGTTAGATTGAGGATCTGCTATTTTTATGAAGGTGACAGGTTTGCTATGTTTCAAAAATTGTCAAGTTGAATTCTTTCTAGAACTTGTTTTCCACTGGGCCCGTTTTCTTAGTTTGTAAGAATTTTCAAATTGTTTTAGCCGCTTGCAAAAATGACCCGCGGTCTATTTCAGGGTGATGGAAGTGGCAGTGTTTTCTCTTTATAAATAAGCCAGCCGCATTTTAGAAAACGATGCTCTTGTATTTTTGGATCTGGGGACTATTTGAACTACTTTTATAATATTTTCTTCTTGTACTGAATTTAACGATTCAATATGCCAAATACATGCTGCTCTTGGACAAAGAGTTAAATTAATTTACTCCCTGAAATGTGCTTATCATTTCAGAGACAAGATCAGCAGTAAAAAAAGTTGTCAGTTGTACAGGTGACGTTATGGCTAACGCAGACCAAGGCCTTGTAATTATGCTGAGTCTTAAGGGGACACTTAGATTTCCTTATTTATTTGCATCTCATTTTGCTCAGTAATTTCTAATGGGTGATGACAGCTCATAAAACATGACAAGGTAGCCTAACTTTTAAAAGTGAAGGAAAAGGAGCCAGGCGTGGAGGCTCATGCCTGTCATCTTAGCCCTCTGGGAGGCCGAGGCAGGAGGATCGTTCAAAGGTCAGGAGTTCGAGACCAGCCTGAGCAAGAGCGAGACCCCGTCTCTACTAAAAATGGAAAGAAATTAGCTGGCCAACTAAAAATATATAGAAAAAAAAATGAGCCGGGCATGGTGGCGCGTGCCTGTAGTCCCAGCTACTCGGGAGGCTGTGGCAGGAGGATCACTTGAGGCCAGGAGGTCAGAATCAGCCTGGCAACACAATTAGACCCTGTCTCTACAAAAAAATAGAAAAATCAGCCAGGCACGGTGGTGCATGCCTGTAGTCCCAGCTACTCGGGAGGAGGCTGAGGCAGGAGGATCGCTTGAGCCCAGGAGTTGGAGGTTGCTGTGAGCGAGGCTGACGCCACGGCACTCACTCTAGCCTGGGCGACAGAGTGAGACTCTGTCTCAAAAAAAAAACCAAAAAAAAACAAAAACAAAACAGAATGGGTGAGTTCTGACAAGACTTTATTTAGCGAGACAGGCAGCCGGCCAGGGGGCCGTTGACACGGTGCACCCTTGCTCTAACTCAGTTTTTCATCGTTGGGAACGTTGCTCAGGGGTAAAACTCCACGGGCTTCTCCTGAGTGCCGTTGTCCCCGCGGACGGTTTTAAGGGGTCCGCACTGTGTCTGAGCCCCCGCGGGCCTCTCTGGGGACCGGACGGCGACCTGGGTGCTCGGTGGTGGTGGTGTCCCCACACTCGGGCCCTCCCTGTTGAGGAGCAGAGAGAGAAGGCAGGCAGGGGCCGAGGGTGGGGACATGCACCTTGCAGGGCGGCGGCGCCTTCTAATTCTGTCCCCGGGTTGCCTTCCAGCGTGCCCCGGTCGCTCCCGGCGACAGCGGCGTCAGCGCATTCCAGCAGCGGGGAGTCCGAGAGCACCAGCGACTCGGACAGCTCCTCGGACTCGGAGAGCCAGAGCAGCTCAAGTGACAGCGAGGAGAACGAGCCCCTAGAGACCCCGGCTCCCGAGGTACCGTGTCCCCTCCATCCCGGAGGTGGCAGCGTCCTGTCCCTTTGGGCTAGAGTCTGTCCCGTGGGCCGGGACCGCCCACGACACTTGAGCAGCTGCTCCGTCCCTCCAGGGGTGGCACTTCCCTGCCCCCGCGCCGTGGGGCCCCAGCCACCTGTGTCCCCCTCTGCGTGTTCCCTAGCTGGCGTTTGGCCATCAACACCTGGGGGGACAAATGTCCTCTCCGCGCTTGTTTAGAAGTGACAGGCTGGCAGAGCAGCTCGTGAGGGTGTCTGCACGCCGGCTCATGCCCCCTTCTTCTGGAAAAGCACAGCCCTCTGCAGCAGCGGGCTGCCGTTGAGTATTCACGAGAAGCCTTTCCGAAATTTCACGAATGCATGAAGAATTTAAGGGAAAGCAAAGGCGAGACCTTTTGCTTTTTTTTGCAAAAGCAAAAAAGACCGCCTGATTCAGCACAGGCAGAACGTGAGCTGGAAACGAGTCATCCGGAGTTCTATTTTTGAGTCACTGACAGCCACGCCATCAAACCCATGGCAAGGCGATTTTGCCAGGGCTTTTTTTTTTTTTTTCCCCCTCCTCCCTCCTGCCCCATGTGCAGCAGGGCTCTCCCCATTTGCTTGTCATCCCCCCTCGGGACGTGGACACTGCAAAGATGAACAAAACCGAGACTGCAAATCCGAAGCACTGCATTTCTCCAGAGGGCTTTGCTATTTATTTGGTGGATTGCTGAGTGCAAGAAATTGTCAGTAACAATAATAAAAAAAAAAAAGGTTGCCAGATAACCTCCAACCTCTGGTAGCAATGCAAACCACCACACCAGGGAAGGAAAGCAGCAAAAAAAGTAGAAGACGACACTCCTGTTTTGCTTTTTGGTGAATGAGACCAGCCCGCGTGGAGAAGTTCTTGCATGTGCAGGGCGGGGGATGCCAGGAAAGGAGGCTTTTTCTGGTTAAGAAAACACACAAGCGTCCTGTGTCTGTCTGTCTGTCTGTCTGTCTTTAGAAAGCAAAGCGGTTGCACTGGAGCAGTAATGGAATATTCTGGAGCTCATGCTGTGGGCATATTAAGGCCCTTGTCTGAGGGCAGCAGAGGCTGAGAAAGTAGCCGGCTGTCACTCTCTGTTAGATGTGACTCCGCGCCTGGCCCGGGCTCAGTGCTCAGTGCTCGGTGGTTTTGGCGTGAATGCACGGAGGGTCGGCATTCGCTGCACTGGGAGGGCCTTGCAGGTCTGTGCGGCCGCTGTGTTTCTGGCACTCTCTCTTTTCCGGTATGACGCTGACTACTGTCGAAATAACTTTTTTCTATGCCATGGGGGAAAAGGAGCCACGCACGCAAGTCGTGTGATAGTCTCACTGTCGGTATTCGTGAGATCGTTGCTCCGTTTCACCTTATTCAATAAGGGAAACCTGCTTGCTTGTTAGATCACTGGTATAAAGGAGATGATTAAGTAACAGAATTCAAATAAAATGGAAATGCTACAGGTTTAGCTGAAGAGGCGAAACTTGGAAAAGAAAATTTAACCATGTGTTTGTAGAAATGAGATAGACAAAAGACAGACAGACAGACAGAACACAGGACGCTTGTGTGTTTTCTTAACCAGAAAAGCCTCCTTTCCTGGCATCCCCGCCCTGCACATGCAAGAGCTTCTCCACGCGGCTGTCTCATTCACCAAAAAGCAAACAGGAGTGTCGTCTTCTACTTTTTTCGCGCTTTCCTCCCTGGTGTGGTGGTTTG